AGCTTTGGTGGCTTGTGTTTGGGGTACGCCAGAGAGCGGTATGGACTTTGCAGCACTCAGCTGCCCCCAGGGACTCATGGGGCCAGTGGGTGCTGGCACGAACTGCATACGAGCCAACAGCAGGAGGCCTCAACGGTCTGCAGATCCCTAACAAGCAGGCATAACCTGTCGATTGGCCAGGGGGAGGTTGGGAAGGGAACCCAGCATGGTCTACTCGGTACTCGGTAGCCAGAAGTTTCTGCATGACAGATTTCTTTCATAATCGCGCATTCAATTCCTAGGCGTCGCCTTTGGTTCCCCAGTTCGACGTAAGTAGGACCAATAGCACCTATAGTATCCACATCTACTCCGTACAGGTGCATATCTTCTTTCATAAGCAGACCCCATTCGATAGAATGTCAGCTCTAGGCGCAGAACGTTCACTCTGAACCAACCCGAGCCACGCAACAGAATAGGAAGGCAAAGTCGGATTTACGCTCATGGTCGTAAAGGATATTTTATTTCATGCTCAGGGGTATCTCGTCATGTATGGCTGGGTCCTGCCGCTTCGCCCACAGCAGCATCGTAGGTGGGAATAGGTGGTCCTCCTGTCCGATCACGCAACAACTCCTGCCGTTCATCTTCATCGCCGTCACCGCTCGTCCTTCGACTTCCCGGGGGACTGCTATACTCGGGAGGTGGGATGATCTGTTGTCCAGCAGGTGTATTCTCCACAGGCTGATTCTGGATATCTCCCATGTCCAGAAGTGCGTTGCCCTGGCTCGGCAGATCCTGTGACGATATATGCGCCAGTTGCGCCAATGATATATCCGTGGCTGACCGGACGGGCCCCGGGTTACCAGCTGGGAGGCCGAGTCTTGCCAAACCACTCCGTGTCCTCGAGTGTCCGGGTTCATATGTCGACTGCCGCGTTCCTTCTCTTCCCGTCTCAAGCAGGATGCTACCTTGCTCGCTACCATAAGGAGGAGGTGGTGCAAGGCTTCCCGTCATTGGTGCTAACCCCCATTTTTTGACATTTGCCTCGATAAACACAAACCCCATCTGGCCAAAATTCACATGAACGTGGCAGGGTCCATTTGCACCTACAGTTGGGAAGAAGTTCTGAGTCTTGAGATTGTGCGCAATCTCATCTAGTTTTTTCCCGTTGCGTGTGAAAAATATGCTTCCGGTTCGAGGTCGATATCCTACCCCGATCACATCTCCTTGCACATAAGGGGGACCATACGTGCTCGCGGAAAACGGTTGGTTATAGCGTCGATGTCCCGTGGAAAGATAAGCAACCGATGTTTTATGAAAACCTGATAAGTCAGCATACAAAGTCATCCGCTCTCGCAAAAGGCGATGGACTTACCCGGTAATCGAAACAGAGGGTACGGTTTCGTGGTCATTCCAATGCTGATCAGGCTATTCTCGGGCTTGTCGTAGATCTTGGCCTCCCAGTAGTACACTTCGTTCTGCTTAGGCACCGGAAGATTGCTTTGTACACTGCATTCTGAATCGAAAAACTCGATTTCGGTTCTCGCTTCGACAAAGCAGTTGGCGATTTCTAGTTCTGGCTCGAACTCCCACGCAGACACACCTTTTTCCTGGATAGCCAGGAACTGCGACAGCGATATATCAGTTTGAACGGATTCTGGGGGATTCGCTTGTACAAATGCTGTGTCGCCGTTAGAACCCGAGTGAGGGCGACTGACTTGTGATGTGATTGACCCGTACCTTTGGCCCTCAAATACTCCGTCCTTTGCAACTCGTCCATTGTCTCCAAGGCCTCGGCCTCTTCCTGCGCAAAGGCTTGCTCATCGTCGAACTCACCGGGCCGGCCTATACGATCTAACAGAATGCGGCCTCGAGAGGTATATTTGAAGAAAAAGAAGATGGCAAGAACAAGTACTGCGACGCCGGCCGAACCAAACGCAGATAATAACCCGATAAGGATGCCACGGCCTGTTGCGCCGCCATCACTGATATTTATGACAATCGAGGTAGGTGAGCCGTCGGGATGGGGTCTGAAGGGAAGTGGATGACCTTCCTGCCAGCCATTGTGGTCGGCGAAAGAAGGTGAGGAGGAAACGGAAGTCGGATCGGAGGATAATGACGAGGGAGACGGATAAAGGGATGTTTCAAAGGTCATCGTGAGTTTGTCATGTTGTAGCAGGTCACCGCCAGGACGCATCGCTCAAAGGATGAGCTCAACGATGGAAGGAGAGAAGGAAGAGGAGAAGTAAGAAGACGTCAAGAGGTGGCGAGATGGTGATGTGTGGCAGCGGATGAGCGAAGAAGCCAGGGCGAAATGGCGCAGGCGGGGATGCGGTTAGACTAATCGATCGAACAGACCGCGGGCTTGTTGGGGTCACTCGTTGTGAACAGAGTTGTATTTGGCCGTCAATCAATAGGACAAATAAATGCGATCAAGTGTAATGCCTCCAAGAGGACGAGATACACAATACCACCATCTTTGGGTCGGGCCAAGATGTCTACTTGTATGGATTGATTTTAAGGGACGAAGGGAGTGACGGGGATGGAGATGGAGAGGGAAAATGGAAGGGCCGAGACAGAGGCTGCTTCTGATGCTTTTCCCGTGGCAGTGGATGAAACGGTGCCAGTGGCAGGGCCAGGTGCCGTCCCTCTTGGGTCTTTGGGGGGCAACCACCCACAGCCTCAGCCTAGAAGCCCCCCGCTCACTAACAGTTGGCTGTGGTGCCCTGGCCTCCAGCCGTTCAGGGACGCCAAGAGGCATCGCTTCAGCTAAAAGGGTCTCGACGTCAGTGACTCCGTGCCAGCATCTACAAGCCCTTTCGCATGTATCATGCACGCTTCCCGATCCGAAAGCTATCGTTCTCAGTCGTAATACCATACAAAGTTACGCCGTATAGTATATCATATATGTATAGAGATACTTTCCGATGTCCCTCTCCACGCTAGTCGAGTATTGAATCTGCCTAGCGGCGCAAAGATGACGCTGCAACTGCGCCCATCCGACAAGGCTGACACCTTGCACAATTCGGTCGTCCATTCGAATTCGAGCATTCTAGATCTTGCTGTCCCTCTTCCTCGCTCTCCAGCCGGTGAGCGTGCTGCCACCATCAATCTCAATCACATTGCCCGTCATATGGGCCGATGCTTGGCTGCTGAGGAAAATCACCAAACCTGCAAAGTCAGACGGCTTGCCGACTCGTCCGGTGGGTTGTCGTTCCAGCAGAGTGTCCATGTATTTGTTAATGCCGAAGTTCGTCATCCGAGATGGAAAGACGCCGCTAAGAATACGGTTTAGCATATCGGCCTTCTCAACATTGATCGAGGACCAGGCCAACACAGTGAACACTTACGGGCAGATACAGTTGACCATGATGTTCAATGGCGCCAACTTGGACGCCTGCAACTTGCTGAGATGGATGCATGCTGCTTTGGATGGTCCATCTGTATCGAGCATGTCAGTTTGGCTCTTCCCACATGCAGGGTACAAAGACAACCATACAGCTGAAGGTGCCGTGACCCGGTGCCGAAAGCCCTCCTTCTCCAGTTGTGGTGACATCGCTCGTCTGGATGCCTGCCATGGAGGCGACGTTGATGACCCGCGAGGGCATGTTGGCGTTGGTCCCCTTCAGCAGCAGGTCGTGCAATCCGACGGTCATATAGAAGATGGACTTGACGTTCAATGACATCAATTTGTCCCACCCACTTTCGGGGAAGTCGTCATACGGAGCTCCCCAGGTGGCACCTGTGTTGTTGACCAACACGGTCAGGCGATCCGTTCGCTTTTTCACCTCGTTGACTAGCCCGTCACAGCCAGCTTTATCTTTCAAATCGGCCACGATGTATTCGCATTTGCCTGGTCCCAACGCGTTCAACCGATCCGACGTCTTCTTCAACTCGGACTCTTTCCGACTGGCAATGAAGACCCGTGCACCGTTCTGGATGAAACCTTGAGCAGCCATTTCACCCAGTCCAGTTGCCCCTCCAGTCACCAGCACGACGTGGTTGCTGACGTCGAACAGCGTGGAGATTCGGAGATCTGCTGTTGAAGTCATGGCTGCTCCTGTTCTTTCGCCGTTTCAGACGTCCTTCTGTTGCTTGCCGCTGATATCGGATTCTTTCGAGGTTAACGGTTAGTCAAAGAGAACAGAAAGCAGGTCCAAGAAAATTGAAATTTAGATGTTTAGAAGGTACTATTGTTGATCCGCGGCAAACGGCCATTCTTGGGGTTATCGATTCGGCTCGATTGCCAACCAGAAGCCTCGGTTATTGCCATGCTTCCCCAGTTTCTTGGCCGCCGAGACCGCAACTGCGTGGTCGTTATGATCCGTCGTAATGATCCGCCGTACTATTTGCCAAAATGCCAAGAAGCTTCAGGATTATCCTACGTTCGCTTGGCCAGTGGCAAAAAGACGTATTTTCACTTAGCATTCTCCCCCGACAGGCCCAACCCTCCCCAACCCTCGTTTCGATGGATCCCAGGCACTTCTCGCTCAAGATCGCAGTCTTAAGTAGAGTCTACAAGTAGACTCTTGCGAGCTCTGCAGGAGCTTGTCTCCACCATTCAATCTTGACCACGAGTCACGAGATGCAGGCTGCTGGGAACTCATGCCACTGCAGGACAAGTGTCATGACTCATGGGCCCGAGAGCGGCCCTTTGATCCGGTTGGTACACGCCACTCCCTTTGTGACTCTCACACCACAAGGGGAGCTGTGCCTATTTGGACCTGGGAAGACGCAGGCATACCCAACAAGTCGTCATGCTACCATCTTTCAGGCGCTGGTGGTGAATCCCCCTTGGCTCACACCTTGGGTGTATCTCATGTGACTCACGGTACCTTTGTCGCCATCCACAAGACTCGAGACTCAAGACTCACGGATCGGGCATATATACCTCGCTCTCGTGCTTTTACAACTTTCCCATGTTTTCTTTATTTCCCACTAAAAATCGTCCCAGCTGGCACTCACTTGATCTCGCGACAGCATTTCCTTCGCTCATCTGAACATCCTCTCCAGGACAACTTCCAATGGCACACAAACACAATCGCAGGCGGGTTCGCCCTCGCAATCGCACCCATTCTTCTCTAAATCCCATCTTTGAGATCCCAGACGAGCTCTCAACATCATCAGAATCTTCCACTCTTTTCCCGTCCCCTGCAAACACGGACCTCGAAGAATCTCCCCTACCCCAAGCACTGAGCACCTCGAATCCTAATGTTGCGTCAAGACATTGGTACAATCGATACGTTGCCTGGCAAAACCGCGACAAAGCCCAAAGACGTGAAGCTGCCAAGATTGAGGCCGAGCAGATTAAATTGTTTGGAGGCGAACCAGGTGATGATGTCGGACTTTGCTACAAGATGATGGAAGTCTTTGAAGGCATGAATTGGATCGACACGCTGGACTAGACAAGTGGCTGGGCCCAAAAGGAAGGGGAAAAAAAGAAACAAATGAAAAGCATTGACATCTTGCGGAACAAAGCATCGATTCTGTCGAGAGACGGCATTGAAAATCAACTCACAGGAACGGACACAGCTCGAGTTCGGCTTGCAGCAATGAAGGCCTTCCTGACACAGAACAGGAATGACTGGATTGGCCCATTATACTTGACCCGTCACTGCTGAGGAGGGTGTATCCGCTGGGAAGTGGTGACTGGTGCTCGCGCATTCATCGAAGGGAAGGAGATGCGTGTCTATACATACACCGCGCTTGAGCTCGTCGCCGCAGAATCGGTGCCTTGTCGACAAGAGGTGGATCCATCCACTCGCCTACTGTTATGTACTCTGTGATATCTCGACTCACAATATCAATAGAGTTCACCCCTCTGCCGCCTCTTGTTATCTCTACTTGTACCCAGTAGTTTCATTGTGGCGTTGACGCCACACGAGATGGCTGATGGTGGAAGCTTGACTAGAAGCTTGGAGTTGCTTGTTCGTCTTGCAGCTCGATTGCACCGAGCCACGGGATGGAGAATGCCCTAGTATTGACATTTCTCTTCTCCATTCCTTTTCCTTCTGTCTCCTATGATGCTCCCCTCATCTCGATCCGCTGAAAGTGTACCAGTTGATCGCTGCCACTGTGGATGATTCTAGCCACATTTCAACGTCAGCCAAGTGTATTAGCACGATTAGCGCGGCACAAGATTTCCCAGTTGGCGCTTGCTCTTTTGTGATCTGCATTCCAAACTCCAGTCACTCTTGTGCCGGCCCCCTTTTTCGTGCAAGCGACGGTGTTGTGCAGTCCGAAAACAAGGCACAATATTTCACCTGGAGATGGAAATGACATGCTATGTAACACAATTCTCACTGCGTCATTCACGACCGTGAAGCCGTGTCGGCGAGCACGCGAAGAAGTTGAAATACCCCAACGCCGCCTCGCTGTTTACCGTCACTCTTATTTCACAGTGATCAGGCAGGCGCGGTTGTCAACCTCTGCAGTTGCCCGACACCCAGAGAGGTATCTCACCATTTCGTTTCCCCTTCTCAATCTCTTCTTCAACCTTGGACTTCTGCACGTCGCCCCTCTTAGGTGATCATCAGCCTTTCCTTCGTACCTGATATCGATCTCGGCGATCAAGATGGGCCTCTTTTCACGCCGAGCTCAAGGTCCTGCAACAAACAGTCGTACTCACAATGGCCATGCTCTTCATCACGAAAAACGAGCCTGTCTGGGACGTTTCGACATTGACTCTGGCGACTTCAACCGTAGACCCAGCTTCGGGCAATGGTAAGCCTTAGCATCTCTCCCCCCAAACATGGCGCAAGATCTGACAGATGGACAGGCTGAAGTTCACATGGCTGGATATTTTGACCATGGCTGCAATGGGCGCCATCGGTCTCGGAGTCTACGAAGCCAAACCTGCTCCGAGCCGCTCATTTCCAGTGACCTTTTCTGATGGAGAGATTGTCTATCCCGAGTTCGCCTATCCGCTGCGCCATGAAATCGTCCCGATCTGGCTTGCTGCCCTTCTTGCCTCTCTGATCCCAATCTTCGTCATCCTGTGCATGCAAATTCGGATTCGCTCTTTCTGGGACGTCAACAATGCCATCATCGGTCTCTTGTACTCCCTCATTGGAGCGGCAGTGTTTCAAGTCTTCATCAAATGGCTTATTGGCGGATTGCGGCCCCATTTCTTGAGCGTCTGTGACCCAGACCCGGCGTTGATGGCAGCTCACCCTGGTCGAGGCTTCCAAAACATCATGTTCCAGAGAAATATCTGCCGGGGAGATGTCAATCAGATTGACGACTCACTCGAATCCATGCCATCCGGTCACACTACCGCTGCATTTGGTGGCTTCCTCTACCTCTACTTCTATCTCAACGCCAAATTGAAGGTGTTTAGCAACCACCACCCAGCATTCTGGAAACTCATTGCAACCTATGCTCCCGTGCTCGGTGCTTGTCTGATTGGTGGTGCCCTCACCATTGACGAATACCACAATTGGTACGACGTCTTTGCCGGCGCTGTTATTGGGTCTGTGTTTGCTATCTCAAGCTATCGCATGGTCTATGCCTCCGTCTGGGACTTCAGATTCAACCATATTCCCTTAACTCGCCACACTCCGTTCTCCTACGGCGCAGGAGCCGCAGGCGCTGGAGGTTTCGAAACTGCAGTCTTCACCAGACAAGCTGGGTGGGGATACGAAGAGCATTATGGCGGCGCGCCCTTTGATGCTGCTCATGGTCTCAGGAGCCAAGCTGCTAGGTTCAACACGGGTGCAGTGCATCAAGAACGTTATTTCAACAAGAGCGAGGGCGATGTGGAGCGCGATGCCGGTCTGCACCCAACAGCTGGCACCACGAACGGCTATGGAAATGGCACGTCGTCTATGAGAGATCCTCCCGCTGCCGTGACCAACGGAACACACAACTCCGGTCGGAATAGCTTGGAGCGCAAATCTGTACCCACTTCAGCATGATTTCTGAAAATCAATAGAGAATACGCTGATACCATGAGTTACTATGCTTCAGAAGCGGTGCGTTGGATTATTCGTGCAAGGTTATGGGGCGGAGAGGTTTCAAACTGCAGCTGCAGCAAAGAAACACAAACTTTGAGGATCACTCAGGCATGGAACATGAGAAGCAACAACAATTAATGAGACCAGGATGTCATAATCGTCTTATGGCTATAAATTTGCGTCTGAGGCTTTCCCAGCCTGTTTCTGGTTGATCAGTCGAACTATGAAAACATTCGAGACCCCTACCCAGTAAAGCTCATCCCATTCAATTCCTTTTGCAATCTAAACCCTTCTAACAGAGTCTGCTTCTGCTGCCAAGTAGTAAATGCCAATTCTATATTTTCCCTTTTCATCCTGCCATCCCGACACTCCTCCTCGGTCGCCCACACTGAGTTCACATGCTCATTCGGATCCAGCTTTACCATTAACGCCTCGGTTCCACCTCCCTCGACTTCGACAAGGAACTCGAATTTACACACTCTCTTGCCACCCCGCGTGAGAAAGACGTGCCCCTGGCCAACGAGCGACCTGATGCTTTTCGCAGCCAGCCCGGCCTCTTCCCACAGCTCGCGGGCAACGGAGTGCAGGATTGTGGGATCTTCGCGGTCGGACGCACCGCCTGGGACCTCCCAGCGAAGGGGCGCAGAGTCGTGAGGCGCGCGCTGGACGAGGAGGACCCGAAGTTCGTCGTTTTTGCCGTGTTCAGTGTGAGTAGAGTTGGTGGCATCGGTCGCGGCGGGAAAGCGGGCGAAGACAAGAGCACCCACGGCGACGTACTCGTAGTTCAGGCCTTCCACGAGCGCGGCCTGGTTGGCGACGTATGTCGGGAACGGCACGGCGAATTGCGATACGGAGGGGTGGGATGTGAATTCATAGCCCCGGGATGGTGTGACGGAATCGGCCATGGTATCTTTTTCTTCCTGGCCTTTTGCTCAGCCTTGTAATGCCGGCGAGGCCGAATGAAGTCTCTACATAATCCACTGACTCAGCTTTGAAAATCGGTTTGCGGCACCCAACAACCAGCCTGGTCAAGATCTTACAGGAGAGGGGGGGTTGGGGTGTGTGGATGGCTCCCAAGTCTTGACTATCTCTGGTCTCTGCGCATGTGAGTGTTATGAATTGTCAAACGGCAGCTGCTGGTTAACAAATTCAGGAGCCTTCAGTCTCTCAGGGATGTTTAAGGCGTTTTCTGGGCGCTTTCGAGCGCTGCAAGCTTGTCTTCACCATCGAATAGAGTGATGTGATGCATCGAGAAAGATGAGGCTGTGCGCGCTTGGCAGTGCCAACTTCGACAGCAAGGCCCTCTTGGTGGTCTCTGCTTTTTCTTGTTTCAACTCTTCTCTCGCCTTCCATACAATTTTTGTCAATGTTTCATTGGCCATCACGGCTGAAGTGATTCGCATCGTTGCCAGCACGTTGACCATCGCGGTACTGTTCAAAGCATGTATCGATGCATTCGACGTGGTTCAAGCTGCAAAATCACAGGAACTCGACTTCTACAAGGCCGTGCTCGGGCTGAACGTCGAAAAGTGCCGCCTCTATACATGGGGCCAAAAGTAGGCATCACTGCCTTATCAGACGAGTCAGCCACGTCCAGAATATGACCTGTGCCTTCCCCGCCTTCTTGACAGAACTCGCTCTCGTCTCGTCAAAAAACCACAGGCTTTAGCGAGGAGTCTCGCCTACATTTTCAAGAGAAAAAGAAACTGAATGAACTGATGATGAGTGTACGCGAGCCGCATTAGCGAATACTACTTGACCATCTGAAGCGCGCCATCTTCAAACATGTGGGCGCTGAATGACGACCAAACTTTAAGGGCCAGGCTGCATCTATATCTGAGATATGACTGGAGTACCGGATTTGCACGAAAAGCACAACATGATCTGTTTCAGAGCTTGGGCCAGGATTATACATATCTAAACCTCGCGGATTTGCAGTTCTTTGTGGCATAGTTTTCCATGTTTCCGGGTCAACCTCTTCTGCGTCGCTGACACAACACAACCCAGTGACATGGATACTGCGACCTTCAAAACTCGTCTCCTAGTCTTATTAGACACACATGGCATGGAATTCGACCCTGCTGAGAAACCTCTTCTCCACGCTGATGTGGCCATACACTGCGGCGATCTCACCGACGGTTCCAAGCTAGACGAGCTCCGAACCACCATCAACCTCTTTAAAGACATCGATGAGCCTTGGGAGCTTGCCATCGCCAGCAACCGCGATTTCACACTGGACGACCTCGCGTTTCAGAACAAGGTCGATGAAGTAACACCGCCTCTCGATCCGCAACTCGTTGAGAAGGAATATGACGCGACCGGAGAGGTAAGGCGGCTGTGGGAAGGCGCAAAAGACGTAGGTATCATTCTCCCGGACGAAGGCGCCCACCATTCCATTCTCCAAAACGGGGCACATCTGACTCTGTATGCCAGCCCTTACAGCCCATCGTTAGGTGCGTAGGGATTTCAATACCAACCAGACCATGGTCGCAACTTCGCCATCCAGGAAGGCGTTGACGTGGTCGTCACCCATAGGCCGCCGCAGGGCATCATGGACTATACTCACGGCCGAGAAAGAGCTGGGTGCGCCGATCTGTTCACCGCTGTTGCCCAAGTCCGACCACGGGTACACTGCTTCGGCCATTTCCATGAAGGATGGCGCGTGAGGTTGGTGACCTGGCGAGATACGCGCGGCGCCCGACCGACTCATTTCACTGCCATCGACAATAACAGGTCCCATGTGATAGAATGACTCGCCAACCTTAACCTATCCAGATTCGATTCACAGGAGGCAACAGCTCAGAAGTTGGGTTATTTAGAACGCTACAGGGAGGCTAGATGATGCAAGATCAGGCACTGCTTGGGAGATGTGCATCCTCCCGAGGACGAGCGGACTCTCTTCGTCAATGCGTCTGTTGCAGACAGTGCAGCCTGTCTAACGCAGAGACCGTGGCTGGTTGATACCGAACTACCAAGAGCTCATTATATGGGTTCCGGCGGCAGAGCATTCAGACAATGCTAGTGTGCAAAAGAAATTCCTGTATGGGAAGTAAGTGTCATGAGAATGGGTGTCATCTTAGTCACTGACTCAACACTTACCTTGTCCTCTGAGACGGAGCACGGATGGAGAAAAACAAGAGTCTTGTACCCTCAAGTTCAGGCTTTGATGACAACTCTAAAGCCAGTCTTCGACACCCTTGCGAGCCACACAAACAATGCTCCGCCCATGATCATACTCCCCGCGTACACTCTCGCCGCATTGTACGATCCGCCATGCATGTCAATGATAGCGCCCATGACTGGCGGTCCCACGAGTGACGAACCCGCCATCACCAGGAACATGACGCCCATCCGCCCTCCAAATCGGCGCAGGTCTTCAGTCATGCTGGCCACGACCGCGGGGGGTGTGCCGATGACCGCGCCAGAGAAGAAGCCGTACAGGATCGTGATGGCGAGTAGGCCACCGATTGTGTGGCACGGTATCCAGACAAAGACGAGCAGCGCGGTGACGAAGAGCGCGGGGCCCTGGATGTTCAAGGGCCCGATATAGTCGGCGATGAAACACGGAATCAGACGCCCCAGGATGCTCGACGCGTTCAGCACCGGCAGCAAGTACTCGAGGGGAAACCCGTCCGAGCGGTCATCGCGGTTCAGGCCGATCGACTCGGCCCACGCTTCCACATAGTTATAGAAGCCGAAGAACCCAAAGTACGTGACGAACTGGCCTGTGATCCAGAGCGCGAATTCCCTCTGTTCCCGCAGCGCCTGGTACTCGATGAACCGCGACCCCTTCCTCGGCCTGGGTGGAAGACGCTGTCGGATCAACAGGTTGCTGACCGCTAAAGTCACTAGCGATATCAGCGCTAGAATGCGCACTCCCCACCCAAACCCCACGGACGAGATACTGTGCCTCAACCCGATGGGAATCACGATGCCGCCCAGCGACGCCCCAGAGCTCACGGTCCCCACGGCTAGGCCCCTCCGCTTCTGGAACCAGGTGCTCGGCAATGCCACGCTTGGGACCAACAACATACCCATGCCCAGACCGATACAGACGCCTTGCGCCAGGACGGCTTGATAGTATTCCTTGACAAAACTGGTCATCAGCGTCCCGAAGACGACGAGAGCTGTGCCCAGGCCGACCATTTGGCGAAAGTATCCGGCGTCAAAGTACTTGCCACTGAGCGCGGCCCCAACCAGCAAGAGGGTGTTTTGTATGGACCCGATCCAGGCAATCGCGGACGCGTTTTTAGACGCGTCTCCCAAGGGATAGCTGTGTGGCGGGGTTGTCGACGTGTAGTATGTCTGAAAGGAGCCGTACGAGACGACCAGACCCCAGGTGTTGAACATGAGGAAGTGTCCGGCGATGACTTGGAGCCACGGTTGGAGACCAACGTCAGGAGGCGGTACGGACAGAGGAGCAGTAACTGTATCCTCTTCGGGAGGAGGATAATGTTCGTACGTTGCTCCAGCCTCAGCTCTAGCTGCGGGACGTTTCTCGTCATGTTGACCTGTGCATGGAGATGGAGACGGAGACTCTACCGCCGTGGCTTTGTCTTTATCGTCGACGGACACCGGCACTTTGAAGCAGTTAGTAAGTCGTATTCAGCCAAACCAGCTTGTGTGTCTCGCCTCGACGGGGAAAGCGACAGATAATAGATAAACGAAGACAGCATCGAGGAGACATACCCTCGTGTGAGTCGTCCACATTGCCGGACCGCCTGACTATCTCGATTGAGAAAGATGTCGACATGACCCCGACGTGGTAGTCCTAGACCAGCGATATGCTTCCCTGGTTATAGCGGACGATGGGTGCGAGGCCATGGACGTTGTCGAACAGATGTCACAACCAGTGAGATAAAGCCCCCAGATCTGGATCATGTCCCAATAGTAGTTAGGACGCCCACTTTGCAGACCTTCACGGCGTGTCCTGTTCGCCCAAGTCGGTCCGCGTCCGAAGAATCCAAATGCCACAAAGGGCCAGAGTGCCAAATGTCAATCAACCAATATCCCAGGTCTTGGAAAAAAAAAAGGCACAACCCACGAGTCTTCCTCCGCGGATACAAATGTGCACATCCCGTGCGTATCTTTGTATATGTCTTTATATACAGTCGGATGCATGGCCTAGGGATGATATGTGATATTACACACAGGAAAATATAGCCATTACCAAACATGAACACCGAAATCCACCCTCCTTCCCGAGTCCGACATCCGTCCACCTCCTTACACCCATCGCCTCGATACATACCTACATACGTCCCCCAACGTCCCAGCATCTCTCACTGGCCAAAAAAAAAGCCGACAACCGTAGCGCCAAACGCCGGTGCCCGCTCCGGGGAGCAGGTCAAAAACAGGAAGTCCAATGTCTTGTACGAGTCCACGAAGGTCGCGCTTTTCTGGGGGAAAGTTTCCTTTCCCTTCTCCATCTTGTGGATTTTGTCGGCAAAGTCGGCTGTCGGGACGATCCATGCATGCGGGCGATGTAATAAATGCAAATGCGGAGAACAGCCCTTGCGAGGAAGACTGTGCTTGGGGGCGCGAGCCACCGTCGTCATACCACCTCTAGCATTATAGCTGGATCCCGCCCGCACGCGCCCGAGAGAGGGAGGGAGGGAGGGAGGTGTGGGAGGGCGTTATACTTATTTGCATACTGTATGTAGCACGCGAGTCTCGCCCGGGAGGGAAGAAGAAGAAGAAATCAAAATAGAAAATAAACCAAAGGCCCGAGAGACAAGAAAGACAGGGATGGAAGGGAGGTGTCGGTCAACCAATCAATCTAACTGCCTCTGAACTACTCAACTACACAGCTCAAGCTCGAGCGGTGCCGAAGAGAGTACTCCGTACGTATCGAATTCACTGCGTCGCCATGTACCTCCCTGCTTATTCGGCTATTATGTATGGCTTTTTGGTTAGAGAAGGGAGGCATCCAGAGATGAGATCCGGCGGAACTTGGGCGAGTAGCCGGTACATACCCACATACTTGGACTCCACACAAAGGTTGTGTATGGTAAACTGTAATAGTAATGGGTATGGGTATTATTGTACTGTCTAAGCTCCGTTCATATATGCTCATCTCATCATCGACGCCCCCCCTTGAATGTCATCTGGAGTTCTGCTGCCAGCGCCTACCTCCTCATATCAAGGCGTTGAGAAGATGGCCACATCTGCCATCATAAAATCGAGCCCAAGGCAAACTTTTATGCCCTCTTCCTGCATTTTACCGGTATCATTATGATCCTTCGGCTCTCGTAGAGGGGGGAAGAATCTATATCCTCTTCCCCCATTCGAAAGAGGCGATGAAGTTTCGCAGGCCGGCCTTTCCATATCGCCTACCCGCGTGCGTCGGTGGATTTGGTCTGCTGTAGTCCAGACATGATATGCTCAATCTGGCCTCATCCGTCTTTGATGCTAGGCACCCCGATATTGCCGTATACTTTAGTGAATTGCAGAAACCGCGACGCGAGGTACCATGTAAAATCTGACTCTGTTCCCTTTTCAATAGATGGTTGCTCAGAAGACCTACACTCTTTCACCATCTCGTTTGAACTTGATGAGAACGTCCTTCATCTTGGGCACCAGCTCAGGCAGCCGAAATGGCTTGCTCACGACATCGTCAATTCCGCTCTGCAGTGTCATCTCGATCTGTTCAGCTCGTGCATTCGCTGTGACCGCTATGACAGGGATGTGCGCTACCAATTCTCCAGTCTCTTGCATCTCCCGGAGTTTCCGTGCGCAAGTCTGCCCGTCCATGACAGGCATTTCCAGATCCATGAGCACAACGTCGATCTTGACGCCATCCGTGACATGGCCACGATAAAATTTTGACTTGCGGATTTGCTCAATGGCTTCGCCACCATGGTTGGCCACGTGGACAACGCAACCGATCTTGCGAAGCTGTGCAGCAAGTACTTTTTGGTTAATCAAGTTGTCTTCAACGATGAGAACGTGGACGGCGTCGCCTTGCGTGGCTAGACTGGTGGAGGCTGTCTTCGCAGAAGCAGGCGAAGCTCCGGATGGCGGTTGCAGCACTTCCATGGCCAGGCCCGTCAGCGGCGTTGTCCTGGATGATTTCCTGCTATGTGGTGCCGAAGAACCCGGGATCTCCTCCAGGGTGGCAATATCCCCTTTACTACGGCGAGCTTTGATGTAGAACGCAAATATACTCCCTTTCCCACTCTCCGAGGCGACGCCGATTTCACCCCCCTGAAGCTCGACCAGTTCTCTGGAAATGAAGAGACCAAGGCCGGAGCCGCCATATGTGACGTGCGTGCGGGGACTAGCTTGAGAGAACCGCTGGAAGAGCTGTTTCTTCTCCAGTTCATCCAAACCACGTCCGGTATCTTGCACTGCAAAATGGAGGTACACGGGCTCGCCCAAGCCCCATTCTGCGGCCGCGGTTACATCTTTGTCCTTGGAAGATCGAGAAGGGATGTACGTGAGTCTCCATTTGTCCTCTTGAGACGGTTTTTCCTCCGAAGCGGCAATGTGCATGCGTATGACTCGATTCTCTTGCGTGGTGGTGAATTTGATCGCATTGGTCATCAAGTTGATCAAGACTTGTGAAAGCCGGTGTGGATCGATTCGGACCCAATCGATTTCATGGGCTGTGAAGGATGTGTCAATCTTCAACTCCAATCTAATGTCTGCTGTCTTCAACTCTGCGTCAAACATTTTCAGCACCTTGTGCACAACACCTATAGGCCGTGTGTCGACAGGAGTGACCGCCATCATGGCCGAATCCAGCTTCGA